ACGCTGAAACAAGTTAAAGTACACTAAAGTATGCTAAAACACACTGAAACATGCTGAAAGATACTGAAGTACGCTGAAACATGCTGAAGTACATAAGTTCTGGACTCGTTATGAATACTCTGTATTTGCCCAAAATTGAAAAAATACATAGAAAGTTCAGCGTATGCCAGATTTTTAGGAGATTCTGGGACGTCAGGCATAAGCAGGTTAAATTGATAAGGTGTGACAGGAGCTTCAGGTTCACGCTCTGACAGCCGTCTCCTCCCCTTTCTGCAGGGACGCCTTCGTCCTGGCTCTCATTAACAGTGGGACCAGTTTCTTTGCTGGTTTTGTGGTGTTTTCCATTCTGGGCTTCATGGCGGCTGAGCAGGGAGTTGACATCTCACAGGTTGCTGAATCAGGTAACGACTCGCTCATCTAAAGCTTTATCATTAAACCAAAGTTTTCCACACAAAAGAGCAGCGAGGCCATAACGTTTCTTAAGATTTGTGGTAAAAACTAAAACTAGAATTTTAGCTATTACTATTAAAACTACTATTATTCATCAGCAGGTTTTAACATTCTGGGTAATTTTGGTGTTTATGAACTGTTTCGCCATAGTTGATTAAAAAAAGTTTTTTCGTGCAGCAATAATGATCAGAGCTCGATCTCTGTTCTTTGCAGCCTACATCAGTGCATTGCAACGGGTACATGAAAATATTNGTATTGACAGCTGAGTCCACCAGCGTGGCCATGTTTCTAATGCCCTGGAAGGTACCCTACTGACTGTTGTCCTTCCTACATGTCCCGCCCCCAAACTCTGCTGGCATGTCATTGGTCTAACTCTCTGGTTTCAGATATTGTGAATATCCAACTTGCAGAGTGACGTTATCGGAGGCTTAGTTATGGTTTTAAAATCCAGAGTCATTGTTTAATCCATTGTTTCATTTGAATCAGTTAATCACCCGATTCGGTCCAGATACATTTTTAATGGGTTTCTCAAATGAAGCTCAGACGAGGATTCAACTGTAGAGAAACATTTTTCTGTGTTTCAGATTGTTTACTTCACTGCAACGTTTCCATACGTGGTTCTCATCATCCTGCTGGTCCGAGGAGTTACTCTGCCAGGAGCCTATGATGGCATCATGTACTACATCAAACCGGACTGGTCCAAACTGGGAGAGGCTCAGGTCAGTCCACCCTGCTGGGCAGCTTGGCCCCAAAATACTGTCAGGATCAGTGAGTCTGCCTTGAACACTTGGTCTTCAAATTTGAAGCATCTTACTTTATCTTTATTTGTATTTTTTAACACATAATCAGCTTTAAATTAATCTAAAATCTGAGAGGAAATAACAGAAACCTGTTTGGAAAACAGGTTTCTGTTATTTGAGAAAATATTGCTCCATCATGGACTCCTAAACAAACAAATTCTGCAATATCCACTCTTGGCTTTTAGCTCAGCAAACTTCTCACCTGTGACCTCTGACCCTGCAGGTGTGGATAGATGCCGGCACCCAGATCTTCTTTTCCTACGCCATCGGACTGGGAGCGCTGACTGCTTTAGGAAGCTACAACCGCTTCAACAATGACTGCTACAAGTAAAACACAGTCTTAAGCTGGAACTCCACCTCTATCTACTCCACCTCTATCTACTCCACCTCTATCTACCTTTATGTTAGAGAACCTCAGATCCTAGGGCACCTGCCAAACAATAAGAAGGTCTATTTTTCAAGAACATTTATCAGCCATATTCATAAAAACTAAAACCTTCAGTCAACCTTTGCAATGTCCATATCTGCATAAGTTGATGTAACCACACCTGGTTGTTTCCTCAAGCTCCTGTCACACCATGACGATTTAGGCCTGACATCTGAAAAATCTGGCAAAAACGCTGGCATACGCTGGATAAGTTATGGGCACGCTGAAGCACGCTGAAGAATGCTGAAACACTCAGGAACGCATTGAAGCACGCTGAAACACAGTGAAACATGCTGAGGCACTCTGAAACACGCTGAAGTATGCTAAAACAGAATGAAACACGCTGAAAGACATTACAGTATGCTTAAACACTCTGGAACACACTGAAACATGCTGAAGTACACTGAAACACACTGAAACACGCTGAAGTATGCTAAAACAGAATGAAACACGCTGAAAGACATTACAGTATGCTTAAACACTCTGGAACACACTGAAACATGCTGAAGTACACTGAAACACACTGAAACACGCTGAAGTATGCTAAAACAGAATGAAACACGCTGAAAGACATTACAGTATGCTTAAACACTCTGGAACAC